CCGGTGGACCTGTTTAGACCTCTACTTTTGAATACCAAGTAGGTTGCTGTTTTTGCCTATAGTTTTTAAGGACTAGATTCACCTCTTGAAACCTATTGAACGGACCCAATCTGCCGTTAAAAGGAGAAGAAGATGACGCGGGAAAAAGCAGAAGCTTCAGCTAAGCCAGCGGTAGCTTCCAAGAGCTCCGCACCCACTGGCCACGAATATGCAATGGAGATTTCAACACCGTCAGCCAAAAGAAAAACTCCACCTACGCCCACCAAAGCACCCACAACCCCTAGCCAGGGTACTGTGTCCCAAAGTGTGGAAACCAACAACTCCATAATAGAAGCCATTAACAAGCTAACAAACAAGATCGATGACTTCGGCGTGCAGCTAAGTAACAACATGATAATGGTGGCTAACATTGCCAAGCTGGCTGAAATGAACGCAGCCGATATAAAAGACTGTAAGGCTAAACTGTCTGGTTTGGAAAAAGACATTCTTGCTCTAAACAAAGAAAACGCTGAGCTGAAAGAGAGAATGTTAGAACTAGAACGATACATGCGTCGCTGGAACTTGAAAATCCAGGGCTGGAAAGAAAAAAATAAGTTATTGACATCTTGGCTAAGATCGCACCACATTGGGCTTCTTCACTGGGCAACGCTGTGGACACCGTCCATCGTCTAGGGAAAAAAGAAGCGGGTAGACATCGACAAATAATAGTTCAGTTCACCATGAGGCACTACCGAGATGCTTTCTGGAAACTGACTAAGGATTCCCAGGTGTGCAAGGAGCTAGGCGTCTACTTCAAGCAAGATTTCTGCAAACTAGACCGGGAGGCAAGAGCTGCAGTTTGGCCCAAAATGGAGCGAGCCAGAGCTGAAGGGAAGAGCGTCTACTACCGAGGGCATGCCGGTTACATCAACGGAGTTCGGGTATTCCCTGGGTGACTGTCAAACTATTCCAAATAACCAGTCAGCATATTACTCTTTGAGTACAATGCGTTTTGCTAACAATTCTATTTAGGTCACGTTCTTTAACCAATTTTAAGAATGCCAAAAGTTTTAAATAGGCAGGTTCAATACTTACTGTTTATATTACCTGTTTGGTACGTTACTGTAAGGATTTTTCATAGAGGTCGTTTGCACTTTGTGAATTCAGTTTTAAGGGATTAAGTGCTCCCAATTTTATAGAGTTCTACTTCTATCTGGGTACTTGAAGTACAGTCA